CAATCGCAGCATTGCCGTGAAATGTCAAATCTGTTAACCTTCGTTGCAATATCTCTGGTATTTAAGTATACACAAACAGTACCACGACGGCAGTTAATATCGACTATGCCACAAGCACTACTAGCCAGCGGCTCGCTGTCACTCATTGTAATGTTTCCTTCAAGACTGATTATCTATGCAAGCACAACTTGTATTAGTAATATCTCTCCACAGAGTTATGTATAGCGCACTCATAGGATATAATTATCAAGTATATTGTACATATTTGTGTTCTGTTATCCTAAAACAAACCTTAAAAAAAGAAATCCTTGCACATTTATATGAAGTGTTTCTCTGATTATTGTAGTTTAATGCTTTTGATTTTGACTTTTGAGTGTGCACGGATGCATCATGTAAGTCTTCATATGTGCACATGATAGGTCATGTATATTTTAACATTATCTTTGTAATCTTGTCTCTATTTTCTGTCTGTATAGTCACTGTTCAGAAATGTGATATGATTTATTTTAATTTTATAAAAATATATTGAAATTTTGTTTTTACCAAACTATACACAAAGAATATATTAGGAGGAAGTGGTATAGTTCGTAGTGGAACGCAGGTATTCCAGTAGCCAGATCACGGTCATTCCTCTCTTTTGATTCAGCTGTGAGTAAGCACTACAGCATGCTGACATCAACATATTGGAGTTGAAATCGAAGCGGAAAGGAGCTGGCACTCCAGAGCAGTAGTGCGTATTTTCCCTCCCATAAGGTAGCCAGTGCGTTCAGCTGAATGTGGGACCAATGTGACTTAAAAACGCAAAGGAGAAAAACGACTTTAATGTGCTTGTCTCTGTCTTAAAGGATCAGCCAATATGAAACTAGCGCTTGGGTAGTTGGCGACTGAGCTAAGTCTGTGAGCTCAACGAAGCCGCATTGTTTCAGGTTTGGTTCTGTCAAGAACCATGATCGGCCTAAGACCTTATGACCCTTCAGTTCGGTACTGACTCGGAACGGGATTCTTAACTTAACTTATTAATGGACGATTAAAGAATCGGGAAAAGTGAGACCCAAAATCTCAAATTCAAAATCATTTCGTAGTAAGCATGCACCACCCAGATAGTTAGGCCATAGGGTAGGGGATGTGGCCCGGGTGGATGTGGATTCATGTAACCCTTAAGGGACCAATATTATACGTGGTAAACCATTAGAGCAACAATAATAGGTAAATAAAAGATAATTATACCTATAACAAGTATTTCGCACGATTTGTCATGCAAAATGTATAAATAATAAATAGTAAAAAGATCGCGATTATATGGTACTTCACATTTTTACGCATAGCACACTTATTTTCAGTCCGATTTTAATGTATTTGGCTCATTTTGTAGTTGAATAATAGTTCTATTACATGCTGCCATAAGGATTTGCAATATTCTCGTGTGCTTCTTATGAAAGTAACATATATTTTCAAAATCTCTGTTAGGGTGTTTTAAACTGTAACCGGAAAATATTCACCAAAAAAAGGAAGGTTTACTTTTCAAAAATGGCTTCTGCATATTATAGTAGAAGGATAGTTTATTCAGACATGAAATCAGTATGGCTGTACGAACTTGCATTCCGAAGTCGTCCCCGGACATTGCCAGCACGTAACGGTTTCTCAAAATCTTACTTATAGTTTAGAGAGGTGACAGTGATCTATGGGGGTCTATAGGCCTACATTGTTGTTTTAAAAAAAATGTCTCAAAAAAAAAAAAAAAAAAAAAAAAAAAAAAAAAAAAAAATATATATATATATATATATATATATATATATATATATATATATACATTCTGATTTCATATCTGAATAGAACTATTTTTTAGAAGTCAACCTTACTTTTTTTATGAATATTTTTGCGAAGCCCACTATCTCGACACCTAAAAGGGATACTAAAAATATATATCTTTTATAAGCACATGAAAATATTGCAAATCCTTATTACATCATGTAATAGATTATTCAGCTACAAAATTAGCCGTAATACGTTAAAATCGGACTGAAAATACATGTGCTATGCGTAAAAATGTGAAGGACCTAATAATCACGATCTTTTTCCTTTTCATTATTAGACCGGCAGTCCAGCGACATAGGGTTAGACGAACTAAATACTAATGTCCGAGCATATGGTTACTTTGTGGGTTACATGGGTTGTTCAAAAATGTAAGTCTGCGGGGAATCCCTTGGTGGGGGTAGGGATGGGAACCCCATAAGGGGCGAAAATATGGGTCTGACATAGGTGACAGAGGTACCACTTGAAATCACATTTAATGTTTATTTATCATCAAATCTCCATCAACAGTACAAAGACAGACCTTTTGGGGGACGAAGGGCCTGCCAGACCCCCAAAAGTGATTCAAAATTAGGCTAGCATAAGATGAACAAGGCACTGGTCAAATTAATGCCAAATGAACATGTTTAGGACTATCGGCACCAGACACACCAAATATGGACCACCGACCCCTGGGGTCATCTAGGCTAGCCTAGGTATTGGAGGTACCAGCTGCAATCAGGTTTATATGGTAAATGACATCCTAGAGAAAAGAAATTGACCAACTCCAGACGTGTTGATGCGTGGGCCGGGCCTACCAGACCCCAAACTGGACCCACTGCCCATCTAGGCTAGCTTAGATATTGGAGGTACCAGCTGCAATCAGGTCATATGATAAATGACATCCATAGAAATAGAAAATAACCAAATCCAGACACTAACGAGTGGGTGGGCCTTACCAGACCCCAAATAGGAATTATTTTCGTCCTCTCTTTTCGCCATTCGTAGGATTCCTCTTCTTCTCCCTTTCACCAACCTCCCTTACTTATTTCCCTACTTCGTCGCTCCCTGTCATATTTCCCTCTTCATTTTATCTTTATTTTCTTCATAGTTCTCTCTTATTCGCCTCTTTTTTACCGTCATATCTCTCTCTTCCTCTTTGTCAAAAATCTTCCTCTTCATCTTCTTCCTCACTTCCTCCTCCTTTCCTCTTCCTGTCTCCTATCTCCCTCTTCTTCCCCTCTCCCCTCTTCCTCCTTATCTCCCTCACCCCCTTCTTTAGCCTCATTTTTTAACCCTGGGTGATAATTTCGCTGAACGCATCTTGAATTCCACTTTTATGCTCCTTTTAAGTGATTTAGCATTTCGATCTTTCCTTCATCTTCCTCTTTAATACTTTCTCAGTCTCAGTCTTTCATTTTTTTCTTACAACTCACTTTTCTCTTTCTTCAGTTCTTGTCCTTTCTTCTCGTTCGCTTTCATCTCTTCTCTAATGCTATTCTTCTTCTCTCTCTCTTGATTCTCTCCTACGTCTGTTCTCGTTCTCCTCCCCTTGTCTCCTCTCCTGTTCTCTTCCCCTCCCTTCTCATTCTCTTTCCCTCTTTTCCTCTTTCTTTATTCTCTACTCTCTCTCTCTCTTCATTATTTTCTTCTTTTCCTCTCTTCATTTCTTCTTTTCTTCAATTCACTTCCTCACCTCCTCCATTCACGTTCTCTTTCCCTCCTCTCTACTCTTTCCTCTCTTTGCATTCTCTTCCTCACTTCTCCTTTCCTCTTTTTCTCCACCATCTTCCCTCTCTTCACAGTTTCTGCCTCTCCTTGTTCTTTTCCTCACTTTTCCTCTCTTCTCGTTCTCTTCCATCTTTTTCTCTCTTTTCCTCTCCTTATTCTCATCCTCACTTCTCTATTCTCTTCCCCTCTTTTCCTCTCCTCATTCTCCTCTCTACTCTTTCTCCCCTCCTCTTTTCCTCTCTTCTCCGCCGGCTAGTCATTTCCCTAAGAAGTGATAGATTAGTGGAGCCATTTGTTACCGTCGCGTCGGCCCGAAATGGTTATCCTACAGGTGGTCCCCGTGGTTTCCTTATGAATGGTTATAGGAAGGTATAGTAAAGGGTGATGTCAGGTGATGGTTGCTATGCGTCAACTATCTAGAGTAATGTTGGAAAGTTGCAGATGGGTAAGGGGTTGAGGGAAAGGGTTATGGTGGTTTAGGTAAGGGAATTAGATCAAGTGAAGGAT